TACACATACATAGATCTGTGCGTGTGCGTGTGTGGACAAATGAGTCTATGTATGTATTTGTAGTGACAAATGATTGTCAAAATCAGTCTGCTAGTAGTTACTGGCCGACATAATGAGAGACGGAAAAGTTGCTAATTACTCTTGGCAGTAAGTGGTCAAAAAGGAAATCGACGACTACAAGCATTGGCATGACTAATACTCCTGTTGCTAGTACTGTAGAATGTCAACACGCTGGCTGACACCAAAACCATTACCCGCACCGGCCACATTACTACGTACGTGAGCATGTCCAATGTATGATTGCCTATGTCAGTAACAGTGGATCGCAGGCTTCTCAAAGCTTCTGGAACTTCGCATCACACAGTCACGACACAGTGTGGGAAGAACCAAGTACAACCAGCAAACACATGCATGGAAACACAGCTTAACACAATGTGAAAAAATAGAAGGCAGCACCAGAAAACCCCACACTCAACACAAAAAACACAAAGAAACACAATGACACAAAGCTCAACAAATGCCTAACCAAAGCACAAGAACCCAAAAAAAAATCAATAAATAAATAAACACGCCAAGCCCCATCACCAAAGTCACGCTAAGACAAACAGACCTCGAAAACAAAATGCCCAAACTCAAACGCCAAAACAGCAACGAATGAACACCAAATTAGATTTTTCAGAGGCGAACGTCTTCACAGGGGTGGTGTTCAGTGTGACGATCACTGTGAGGGTCGCTTTCGACCCAACGACCATGCGACCATTCGCATTCATGCCAATACGCCGCTACACGACTGCGGATAGTGGATAACTGCTAAGCGTGCCCTTTCTCGTTTGAAACGCTCTCGTGGACAGCAGCCCCTTGCTGCGGATACAACCTCCGAATTGCCCAAGAAAGATGCACTAAACCCGAACCAGCCCCAAACCATAAACCCTAATCCCTCATCCCCAACCCAGCACGCGCCCTTCACTAACCCTGCCACAACTGCACAAAAGCCTACCCTGCTCGCACCCTTAAGAACCCCTTAGCATCCATAGCCCAGCACCAAACTCGCGTAATATGCATGCAAGAATGCAACACCTAAGCTACAGTAGCAGAGGAACAAGGCTTTCTGTACGGTTTAAATATGAGACTAAACCGCGTCGCACGGCTACATGTAGATTATAGATAACCAAACCGGATGGTGATGCTGTCAGCGTCGCTGCCTCCAATCGACAACGCCTCAGGTGCAGCAAGGCGCAAGCCAACACGCAAGAAGTGCAGCTGCGAAACTCGATTGAAACTGTTGTCGCCGTGTGGATTTCCTGCTTGCTTCAGTCGGAATAGGGAAGGGAGGGCAGGAAGACTCTAAGACAGGACGGGAAGGAGCAAGCCGGTAGCGAGGCAGGGAAGCGGGATGAAAGGATGTGAGAAGGAAACCCAAGCCTGCCAGTTGCCCTAAACCCTACAACCGAACCCAAACCCGAAACGTAAACCCTGAAGCTCGCAAAGCTAAACCGCAACCCTATGGCGCGAAATAAAGAAACAGAAAATCTGCAGAACCCTGAAACTCTGAAGCTCTCGACCCCAAAACCCCAAGCCCCAATCCTAAGCCCTCCTGCCCTAACTTCAGAACCCTTAAACCCTAAATTCCTAAATCGTGAAACTCCGGCACCCTCAACCAAAAAGCGCCCCCAACCCAAACTTTCGGCCCCTGAGAACCGGTTCCACAAAGCAAACAAGCAAATACCACGAGAGGTGGGAGGCCCAAATGGAAACGAATGATTGGAGCACACCCGACAAGAATCCAAGCGGTAAGCAGCAAGCCGAAAAGCGGCCAAAACGAAAGCAGCAGCATAAACACAACACCAAAAAGCTCAATGCAATGTCAATGCAACGAGAAAACCCTTGAAGGCCGCACATCTTCTGCATCAGCATCGAATCATGGTAAGACCTATCCCGCTCATGATGCACACGATGTTGCGAACAAGCAGAACCTCACTTTTGTGCTGTCCCCAATGCTGCGACGAAGATCCAGTCCCAGGTGCCGAAGAAGTTCTTGCCTTGTCCGAGGACTCCTGAAGTCTGAAAGTAATTGAAACTTCCTGAATCTGCCGCTACATGGGCCACAAGAAGCCTCACTGGCAAACTGCAAGGGTGCAAGACGACTCCAAGTCGAAGTCAAGAATCTCAAGGTCAGCTCGGCGATGTAAGCAAAGCCTGGGATGGCTGCATGTCTGAAACCCATGACCACGAATCCATGAAGTCGCCTTGAAAGAGCCACTCTCAGCCTGAGTAGGGTCTCTAGCGCTTCTGTGGATTGTGTAAAGTCTTCGGGTTGCAGCCAAAGACGGAAAGTGACAGCATTCCACGCTCAGTGACAAAAGAAGGCTTGCCCTGCCAGCCACCAGCCCAGCTCTGGTTCTCCAGGGTTCACGGCTTCATATTCCACTTGGGCACCTCAAAAAACGGACTGGAGACAAGGCCCTGGCTCCTGAGCCCGGCCGCAACTCGGCCTACTGAGCTTCCGACCGATGAAGGCAGCATTCAGGATGATGATCGATCCACAGGCAGCATCGAAAACCCGATGGCCTGGGCCAGATCCGAGTCGTCTGGAGCTGTGCACAATACTAAGTGAACCGGCTCACCATGTTCAGCTGAGGGCAGTGCGCAAGATCACGCGACTGACAGCCTGCAGGTAACCTCGCGTGTACGACCCGACTTCAAGGTCCAATGTCCAACGCTCCTGGAAAAAGGCAGGGCGAGCTGCTCCAGGTGGACTCGTTCGTCTGCTTCCAGATGCTTCGCGAGTAGCTGCTGTGCTCACTCTCGCGTGAGCCTGGGAAGTCCATCGCTTCGTTGATATCGGTGGGTGGGTGCTTTGCATGCCTTTCTTTGAAGTGGCCCTGTTTCACCAGGCCCCCGAATGGGGCAGGCTAAGTTGTGACATAAGTCGTGAGGCATGAGATGTTGAGGGCCACGGACCCCTGTGCCAGTTCGGACATCGAGGTTTTAGGGTGGCGGTTGGGCCAAAACAAGCCGAAGGATACCCGGGCATGCGGAGCTGCGCAGTATCGAGTGGGCTTCGCCGGGTCTCAAGGTCTCTTGCCTTTGCTGCTCCGTTCCACCAAGCCGCCTTTCTTGGACAACTTTGCCGCTGCGACGGTCTTTCGCATTTGGTCCAGGCTGTTTTCCTTTGCGGCCGTAGGCAAGGCCCCGGAGCAGTTTTCCTACGCTGCGACTGCTCTTCTGACAGCGTGCAGTAACCCTGAGACTTTAAGACAAGCTTCGGAGCCGTCCGTCGAACAAACTTCATCTTCAGCTTTTGCGCAAGCCTTCGAGGCTTCGCATCTGCTGACAGGCATACACCCTATCATTTTGTCCCAAATCCTTTCTTGCCGTGCATCCGGAGTTCAATTGTTCGACTAACCACTCTTCTCCCGGCTATGGACCCTGTGAGCATGGAAGTTGTCATAGAGCAGCTTAAACTTGTTCCAAGACCGTGGCATGCGCAAATGTGCCGTTGTTTTGGGCGTCCCAATCCAGTTCGGCCCAGGTGCTGTGGAGAAGTCTGCCCCGAGCCAGCGTGAATCCTGGCACAACAGGCAGATCGGCCCTTGTTCTAAAACCAAAGGAACACACTGGCAGAACGAAAGACACAGGATAGCTGAGAACGTTCGGAGAGCACTTCCTTGCAACATTCACCGCACCTCGTCCGGCAGAGACTCCGTCTCTGGGTCTTCAGGCATCTCGTCATCTGGTGGCGAACAAGAATCGGCACGATATCAACTCCCTGAACCCGAGCATCCTACTTGCCTTGGGTGCACCTTGGTGGGCGTCCGAAGCTACGTCCAGTCCTGGAGGGAAGTGCTGCAGCACAGCTGAGCTCCCAGAACATTTGCATGCCGCGACATGCTGTCAGTCCTAGGCCCGAAAAACGGCTGTGCCTTGGGTAAATAGCACATCACGACTCACGCGACCGCTGGCCAAGAGGGCCTGAATTAGACTACCATCCGAATCATGCCCGTGCCCGATCGCCACGAGTATAGACTTCAACAAACATCAAGGGGCCAGCGCGATGCCGTGCTCTTCTGGCACCGCTACCTGCAGATACGAGACAGCCACACAACCCCTGAGCTCTTTCTCTCCAAACATATCCCGCAACGCCTCCGTCTCGTGGTGCCACGCATCCTGTGTAGCCGCAAACTTCGCCACCCAGTCACCTTACGTCCCCGGTACTACACAAGGGACTTGCTTGAGTGATTCGGGTAATTTCGTTCAGCTCGTAATTGTGTGCGGGGATCCATGTTCTATTCTGATGCCCCGTTGATATTCCTGCATCATCGCAAACCTGCTTTCGGTTTGCACCTGCGGAAGTGCTAAGGCCCCACGATCCGGCTTTACAACCCCAGTGCTTGAATGACTTGCTGCTCGAGGCACACAGAACCTGTTCCAATTCGGCATGATTCCGCTGCAGGCATGAGCGGACACTGACAGGCAAACCATCCGGAGAAGGGCGGCCAGAGATACTCTCGCGACCGTCTTCACCTCTCAGTGTCGTTCAGCAAAAGTTTAATTTGGGTTTGGGTTTTGACATCCTGCTCCACATGTCGAACTGCGAGAAATCGCGACTCTGGCGACTAGTGATGGATCTGAGATCAACAAGAAAGCATCTACATCGCTATCTCTTCTGCTCGTGCCTGCATCCATCGCTGGACCAAAGAAGCTGCTTCAAGCTACGGGACTTCAAGTCTAAAATGCTTCCGGCCTTTTTCTGTCAGCACCTGTTGATGCTACCTGACAGTGTGCGAAAGTACTGATGGTCCTCAACATGTTGATAACTGAAACATCTGCATCTCATAGAGCCGAAAGGCTTCAGGACTGCCGATTCGGACCTTTAACTGGATCCTGCAGAGCTTGCAGCTGCTAACTCTTTAGAGACTCAGGCAGCAGGATGCCAAGGGGAACCCAAATAAGATTCAACATCCACAGTGCCTCCGACAGTTGCACCCCAAGCCCGGCACGTAAACTCTCCGCCATCACTTTTACGAACGTACTTCGTGGCAGCCTAGCAACGACATCTGGACGCAGGCTCCAGCAGGTGATTGCTTGGCTGCATCGCTGAGTCATGTGCAGCATATGCTTTAGGCTCACGGCTGGGAGATTGTCTACGATGAAGTTCACCTGCTCGTGGAACACGTGGAGGGTAAGCCACATTTCATTCTGATGCGAGATCCACAATACAAGTCTGAGGTCTGGGCTAGATACTCATCATCGATACGTGATCGGAATTTATCTTTGTCTGCCTGGCGCTCAAGTTCAAATTAAAAAACTAAGGCCGCGGAGGCTGATCTGTCAGAATCCTGACGCCGGGCATCTTGATGGCATTTTCTCTAAGTGACATCTGAAGTCCGACTTGTACCTGTTGATGCGCGATACCCCGATACCTGCACGTCTGGGGTGCTGGCAGCTTCTAGAGGCTTTTTGCAGAGCATTTTGCACTTCTCGTCCTCACCTCACAGGCAGATCTGAATGCAGTGATAGTCTCGTGCTGCCCCTCTGACGACACCACTGGACCGATTTGAGGCCAAAGCCCATCCTTAGGTCGAAAGGCGAGTTTTCGATGAGGTCTCCAGCCTGAGTTCAAACGCGGCAGTCCTTTGCCTTTGCCGAGCACAGGCTGCAAGCCAGAAACGGCCTACACTGACACGTCATACCACAGCAGGTAGGTGTGGTGAGCACTCTCGTGCATGGAAAAAGGGTGCGCTGGCAAGCGGAAACATGCGGAAACTCTGACGCCGGAAAGCTTGTTGTATGCTTGAGACCTACGGGCCTGCAGCATGAAGCGATTAGCCAGACTCGTCCCCGCCACCTTCCCCTCCCACCTCTCTGCTGGTGCTGTCCAAGGTGCCAGAATCTCACCCAAGTTCTCCACGCTTTCTACGATCCCGCTGTCTGGCTTGCAGAACGGCAGCCTGACTGACCAGAGGGGGCGGCACTATCAAGTTTTGATGTGACGCGGGACATGGGAACACAGCCCATCCTCTCGATTCTAGGCTTCCAGCGTGTAGTAGCCATAAGGCAGCTGCGTCTTCACAGACGTGAGCCTAAGACAACTAACTGTCAATCGAGGTCTTGTGAGAACAGATGAGATTACTGAACGAGGCATGGGCTTGTTCACCTTCAACTCCACGCGTGCCCCTTCCGCATATTCGATGGGGGCAACGCCTGGCCTGCAGCATGCGGCAGCTCGGTCTGGGTGCAAGATGGTGCAAGTAGACAAAGGGGCTAAGCCCGCCTCACCTAACCTCGCACGATTGCCCTGCCAACTCAACAAAGGACTGCTCTCGATGCAGGCAGGCAGCAAATAGAAGGCGTGTGAAGGGCCCTGGCATCAGAAAGTCATCACAGAACTCTACCCGCAGAAAACAACTCAGATAAGCATCTTTGTGATCGACCCCACAAGCTTGTGTTGAGAATGGACACTCGCTGCTGCACATGCACACACACATAAAAAAGATACGAACACACATGAACGGCTCCATGTTGGATTTTCGAGTCAGCAGGGCTTACCATCCAGAGTCTAGAGACGATGCGAAAGTATGAGGTCCGCGCCAGAAAAGCCAGAGCAGCTGCAGCTCGCCTAAGTCATACCAAAGAAATCTTCCAGTCTTGTGGAAAGGAACCGCTGCAACGAGGCCAAGGCATCCTGGGCACAGACCGCGCGGGGCCCTTTGCCGCGCATGTGCCACTGAGCCAACTGCTGCACAAGCCAAGTGCAAATCAAGCATCTTGCTCAGATTTACGAGTGGTCCGCAGACTCCGACAGGAACTTTAAGGCCTCGAGAACCCTTTTTCCGAAGACCCTCTCACTCAACGGGCGGAATGAGCGGAAGAGCGGGACAGTGCACAGGCAGATTTGCCATGCAGGATCCTGCAGTGCAATTGGCGTGCTCGCAGAGCTTGAGCGGTCCTTCACTTCCTGACTGGGCTTCGATACTAGTCCGTTCACAATGCACAGGTTGCGGTGAAGACACTGCTCCCCCTGCCAAGCTCACGCATGGAGAGGCACTTCGAGCGTTGTCACTCCCAGAATTTGCCTGACACCGCGGGATCAGGGTGCAAAAACTCAGGCGCACGAACCCTGAATGTAACTTGCTTTCCCGACTAACATTGCACAACGGCCAGGAAAACCTACAACCGCTGCCGTATCCCTGTCTAATCAGCTGGCCTTCTGGGTGTGTTGGACCCCAGGGGTCGTCATACTCCGGACTTCCTTTCGGTACCACTTGGTATTCGTACCTGGAAACGCCCGTCAGAAGTGAGAGGCGCGATGCACAGCAACTGCAAGAGTGCGCAATGGTTGGGAGCCCGACTCGCCCAGAATACATTCACCGGGATCGCCGGCACCATGTGCGAACATGAACTTCTCCTGCCAGACAACTCGCTTCCACCTATATCTATCTCGTATCCTTTCCAGCAATTCGCACGAAGGAAGAGCAGAAATGGCGACGGACGTGAAGCCAGCTGGCTTCAACTTTAGTGTATGGCTTGTACTGTCTCCGAACTTCAGTTAACACAGCATAGTTTGACTGCGCCCCCACTGCGTCCACAATCTTCCACATGCCTTCTTCCCCGACCCATGGATATGCAAGAAGCGTTGCATCAGCAGCGTGTAGCCTCAACCAGCCTCCCCTACATCCACGAGCAGTCTCTCCGACAAAGCCGAGCCTTGCCTCCTGCTCCATCTTGGAATCAGGATCAACCACGACCTGGCACACGAGCGCAGCCAGTTCCACATCAGAGGTGAAGCTGCCGGCACCACTTCCTGCCCTTCCTGCCCGGCCTGTTCGTAGTCTGCCAGTGCTGCGCCCACGGACTTGAAGGCGCGCTCCACCTACGTCAACGGCAACAGGCGTGCTCGGGAAACAACTTCACGAGCATGCGTTGACGACGACGATGATAAGGGTGAAGGCAGGACACAAAGCAGGCGTCAATGATTGCAGTATGCAGCTTTGACAGCAATCGCTACAGTCCGTCGCATCTTCACCAACTGGGGGCAGACGCATGCCCCATCCGAAAACTTAGTTCCAGGGCAAGTATTAACGCTTGCATCGTGAGGCCTTACTCTTCTTGGCAGGCTCATAGAACACGATGACGAAATAACTCCGGTCATCACCTGCCGCACCGAGCCCTTTCGCATTCTACCCCGGCGTGATCAACTTGGACCTCATTACAAAAGTGCTGGAAAGACTAAACTCATCGTGCAGTGAATCACTGTAGAATGGCCGGCGTGTTACACACTGATTGAATCTGGCTTGACGGTAGCCACTGTAGCCAAGTCACTTCTCTAAGCAAGCTGTCTTGCACGGCGTTCGTCCCTTCTGAAAACCAGAGAGCTGCAGAGGCTTGATCAAGTCTATTCCAAAGAGCCTCCGGGGCTCACTTTCAGCTGTCTGTTGAAGTTTTCCGAGGCTTCGGACTGCGCTGCAGAGGCTTCAACATAAGCTTGGCAGCTTACAGGATGACTATACGGGGCTCAAGCTTCATCCACGTTTCACATCGATACTGCTAGGCAAAACTGAACTACACCGTGTCAAAAAAAAGAGAGAACGGTTCGCAAAGTCCTACAAACTTGCTTGACCCTTCCTCTAAGTTCCTGAACAACGAAGCTTAGCCCAGCCCGAACATACAATCGTTAGGCGACCACGGCGGTGATTTGGATATGCACCACCCTATGATTCGAACCTTCACCCGAGTACTCGCCCTCGGCGATGGCGTAGGCCAGCATGGAGTATTCACCTGGACACCCAGTCATAGTATAAGTAAGTACGCGAATCGTGTTGATTAGTTTTCGGAGCTGGCGTCTCGCCTGCAGAAAGGCCATGGAAAACACACATCCCCAACCACCGGCGTGTCCAGTTGCATAACTGCCACGCCCCCTTGGAGGCACAACCAAGCAAGCGGGCATCCCCCCTCCCCGCGAGCGAATGCGTCCAGGTCTCAAGGTCTGTTACTTATAGGCTACTCGATGAGGCACTAGATTGCACCGTGAAATCCCCGCTGTACTGGAACTCTACGACCCAACCCCAACCAGGGCCTCATGAAGCAGGTATTGTTGACCAATCTTCGTTCCTTCCTTCCGCCCCGGGGTAAACTACCCTCTCTTCTTTCTTCTGCAAGGCATGAGGGGTGTGCGAAACCCCTCGGCCACCAGGGACCCCCATTGTTTGGTGGGGCTTTGGATGAGTGTGAAAAGTCGGATGTGCTAGGTTCCCCTTGCAGTTTCCACAAAATCTGAAAGGATTGCACAAGTGAGTGCCGAGTGCATTGGCCGTTCCCAAACTACTCTCTTGCTTGCTTGCTGCGGGTCAAGGTCCGGCGAACTGGACCCGCGCCGTGGCGCCCCCCACCCTTTTTGGTTTCAGAGGGCAAAGTCCAAAGGTCTGTACGGGTGGTACCTGCCGGTTGCTGGTATCCCCACAACCCTGAACACTAGCGCGCATCCCGGCCTCATCCCTGCGCCCTCTACGGCAAATCCTCAGTACCTACAGCAACAACAACCGGGCTCCCCCCAGACTTGACACAAGTGGCGGCATCGTTCTGTTTAGCACAACAGCAGTCATGTAACAAACAAAGTACATGTCACCGAACAGATGTCCCCCGAATACGAATTCGAATGCAGTACGTGGTAGGTACGCCTACGGCATGCCATATTCAAGCGCAACAACTGTCTACAACTCTAAGGAGGCTTACTCGTTGCGCAGCCTCCGCCTCCGCTCATGGACTCAAGGGCGCAGTGTCGCGGGGCAGACGTGAATGCAGCAAACAGGACACCCTATGGCAAAAATCACAGCATTCACTCTCCCTCACTTGTCTGAAACGGCTTGAGTGCATCGCTCAACTGTTCCCCGGTTGACAGTGGCAACAAGCAACACAGCTAAGGTCTGAATTGGGGAGACAACGAGCAAGCACTACACTCGGCAAGGTGAAATGCTTCAGAGACTCCAGGCATTTTCACTGGCAACGTCGCGGCAGCGGAAGTTTATCGGATTTGGCATCTGCTGGGAAGGTTCTCTGCGAGCCCCCGGTTGTCGAAGACCGTGAACTCCCCACAGGCTTGCGTCTGCTGGCCGTGCAAACTTCAAACCCTGAGCCAGTAGCTGTCCCCGCCTCGGTCGGCTTCGGTTTTTTCTTCGCTCGCCGGGTGTTGGCTTGGTGTGATGCACTCTCGTTCTTCATGTTAGCGTCTTCGGGGCAGACTAGGCCGCCGAGTGTAGGTGGAGTTGCTGTATCCTCCATTTGCACTGCTGTCTCCCCCACGTCCTCGTCAATCTCCCGGAGCACTTTCTGTATCACTGCGTCCCTCTCCATCGTCTCCTCTGCCGCCTCATCAGCTGCGCAGCTGGCAGTAGGCTGGACTTTCCATACCTTTTTGAGCTCGTCTGCGGTGGGGTCCCCCAAAGCAAGGGTGACGGCTGCATCCCCAGGCCGGTCTGGGTTCTGGTTCCTTCCAGGGAGGCTGTCGTTGTCATCGAGAAGCAGTTCTGGTTTTTGAGGTATCCCAGTCACGCTCCTCTGGCAGAAGGGGCTCCTCTTCTATCGCCTGCTCCGACGGTAGCCACTTCCCCCTCGTCAGATGAAGGTCGAGGGTGAAGGTCCCCCGCCGTTGTGGCGTCTGCTCTCCGACGAAGAACTCAGCTCCTCAATATATACTCTCTCTCTCTCTCTTCGCTTCGCTTCGCTGGGGTTAGGCTCAGTCGGAGCCCCCGCCGAGGCGCCTTTCCGCCTTTGTTGGGTGGTAGAGGCATTAGGTCTTGAACTCAAGGGGTTGCGTTCCCTTGTCCGGTCTAGCTGGTAGGAGTACGTCTGTCGTGGACCCCCCCTACCCTGAACACTAACCTGCATCCCGCCCTCATCCCCGCGCTCTCTTAAGCTATGTCCTTAGTCCTACGACAGACGAGTTCCCCCAGTAAAACCTATGGTTTGTGAACACTTCCCCTCTTTACTCAACAGCACAAGTAGCTAAGTTCAGGACCAGGTGTTGTTGCGAACTGTTCTTGAGGATCCCCCGTTCTTGGGTAGTCTCCTGCTCTTCATTGAGGTGTTGGGGGTAAGCAATGTCAGCAACAAGGTATGATAAAGGTTGTCTACATCACCTCTCTCTTTGCTTTGCTTTGCTCCGGGGCGAGCTGGGGGGAGCTCTTTGCTTCTCTCCCTCTCTCTCTCTTCTCTCTCTCTCTCTCTCTCTCTCTCTCTCTCTCTCTCTCTCTCTCTCTCTCTCTCTCTCTCTCTCTCTCTCTCTCTCTCTTGCTTGCACACAGCCAAGGTGCAGCGCACTGCACCCGCGCGAGACCGCGCACTGGTCTTGTCATCCTCTCTCTCTCTCTCTGTCTCTCTCTCTCTCTCTCTCTTCCTCTCTCTCTCTTTTTCTGTCTTGCCCCAGGCTTCGCGGGAGCAGCCCGTCTGTTGGAGGGATGCAATATGATGCAATGTTTTACGTGCGAAAAGTCTCTGGCTCTCCACGGGCGGAGCTTGCAACCATGTGAACCCCATAAAAATAACAGTAGCGTACACTCACCCCTGCTCACGCCCCGATAGCTGCTCATTGCACTTTGTGGTTCTTCCAGCAAGATTCTGCCCCTGACTTGACATGATTCACATGCAAGGCCATACCTGGGGCCTGAGCTCTTCTGAGCAAAAGCACGCTTGGAGAGGCGTTGCAGCTGAGGCTCCTCTAGCAGACTAAGAGGGTGCTCGGCTTTGCTCAGATGCTGCTACAAGCATACACCCCCGCCCTGTCTTCGCCGTTCAAACGTTTGCCAGCATGTGGAGACTCAACGGAATCCGATCAAGCGATGCTCCTTGACGCACAGGTGACCTCAGAACAGACATGAATGCGACACTTCGTGGTCGGTCTGCTGATTCTGATGCCCTGACACCAAGCAAAATAAAAGTATGATGACAAATACAAACTGCTGAAACACGCCGGGGAACGCTTCACCAACGTCGCTTTCTTTCGGGCCTTCATCTTTTCCTCGTACTCAATCAGCTCCTCGCCGGACGCGTGTGATTGACTGAAAAGCTCATGTAACCCACTGCCCGGATCACGTATGTTGATGTGTTTTCGAAGGGTTTTCTATTGCTCTGAGACTCCTCCTCTTTCGGATAACAAGGTGGCACCCAGCCATCGCTCATGGGGTAGATGCCTCCAACACCAAGCTAGCAAGCTTGGATTTTCCCTATGAGTTGACAAGCTGCCAACGCTTAGATCTCATGTGGAGCCTATTCCAACTCCCCCCACTGGCCTTTGGGCCATCCCTGATATTCTGTGAGATGCTTGCCTCAAGCTCAGGCTGTAAATGGCACGATCATAAACTTCCAAAAAACGATCATCTGCTTTCCCGCCAAGCCACGCGACGCCCGCGCGCGCGCCGCTGGCATCTCTCCAGGGCCTTCGAGGAAGCGGCTGGAAGCGGCTTGCAGCAGGGCGCTGGAAGCAGAGGGCCTGGGCCCTGGGCCGGACGGGCCGTGTGGCCCGGAGGGCGGCCGCAGGATGCTGCGAACCAACGGCGACACGCAGATCACGCGGGCCCGGGCAAGCAAAGCTTTCAGATTCAAGCTCCATTCTGCTCCGCTTTACTTCTGCACCGTGGCCAGACCGTGGCCGGCCTGCATTGAATCCGAAGGGAACCCCAAGAGCAATTAAAAGTCATAAGCCATGACATGCAAGAACAGCTTCAAACCACCGCGGCCGAAAAAAAAAATGTATCAAGCAAGACGGTAATGGTATCATGGTATCTGCAGTGTGTGTCTGTGTGTGTGTTGATCCCGTCACAACACGAACAACTCTAGCAAAGGAAATGGTCGCACTTCGTTCTCAAGAGCCCTGCACAAACCAACAGCCATGGGTTCCACAATACACTGTGCAGGACAAATAAATGTGCTTGCACGTGCTGCCACAGGACTTACACACTGCTAACACTCGTTATTGACATTGGTCTCCCTGGAGCAACTCCAACACATGCGCAGCAAAGCTGTTTGTTGAGCCGCTTGTCTCGAACATCCGCACGACCCGGCTGCTGGAAGCCCCGCGTTGAAGTTCAACTGTTCCTGTCCTGGCAGCAAGCGCCTGGATTTCAACTGCGTGTGTGATGGGTGATCGCTCCTTGCGCAGGAACTCAGCAATAGTATCAGACCTGGCGACTTCATCGTAGCTCAGGAAGCAGTCAGCTTTCACTCGAAGAATGACAGGCTGTCACTAGAAAGTGCTCCTTTTCGTCAGGGCAGCATAGATTTAGAGGGTCTTGTGCCTCTATAAGCGTGTTGACCATGCGACTTCCCCTGGGCTGGGGGAAGGCGGGGCATCCTCAGCATTATCATCTGGTCCGGGCAGGTGCAACTTCCTGGAAAAACCTCGGACCCCAAGCACTCACGCGGCTCAGAACAGCAGTCCCCTTGTTTCAGGAACGCTTCACGAATTCGCCCAGCCGCACGGCAACTTTCTTTCAGAATGTCAAGAGTTGTCGAATTCTCCCTAAGAAGGTCACCGTCGTGCGGGAACACTGCCGTGGAAGAGCGCTTCTACGGCTGCGGCTCCAGGAGCCGCTTCTTGCTTTATGTTACAATGCTAGAAGTACAGCCGTACAACTGCACTCACATCCACCCCGCTCGCAGCTAGCGAAGTCATATTTTTCTTGGGATTGCGTGGGGCAGGGACCTCCACTCTCCCACATGCGCTTATCCAAATTTATGTGCACTTGCTGCTCACCACTCGGACATCCTCTGCAGCAGGCACTTGCAGGATCTGGCGGGCACATCACGACCGCTGCGGCAACTTCTCGTATCCGTTCGGAGCCAAGCAGCACCTTTCAGCAACTACGTTCCATCAACGCGTACAGGCGGGTGCCTTTTGTGCAGTTCTTTCTCATGTAGCCCTAGGACCGACCGATACAATGAAGCCCCTCCTCGCCAGGCTGATGCAGAAGCACGCCCCACAGTTCACCGTCAGTGCGAAGGCACTGGCCACTACTTCCTTGGTTTAGCAGGACGGCATAAGGCCTTACACACAGAATGACCTAAATCCATCACTGCCACAGTGCAAGCCAGGGCTCGACCAAGGCACCCTCCTCTTCACTGCTGGGGCTGAATGTAGCCTCGTGGCAGGTGCAGCAGGCCAAACTCCCCCCCTTCGAGACATCCCTACGTTTTATAACATCGAGCGGCTGTCAGAAGCCACGCCACATAGAGGGTCAGCATGACTCCTCCGAGCAGGAATGCCGAGATCTGAACACCTGGAACATGAAAGCCCGTGACGGAGCGCTGGCCGCTAGCCCTCCCCTCTCCCAAGCCGCTCCAAACAGCCACATAGCCCGGGCAATGTAGTCCGAGCAATACAGGTCCCTGCCACTTCAGAGACATCGCGAGATCAGGTGCAGCGATTTGAGAAACTGCGGAGGTCTGCCATCGGCCTCAAAACGGAGGCATCCATCTGGAAAGGTTCCTGATGACACGAAGTCGTTCAGGAGTCGCTGCTCACCAAGCCAATCCCAGCCTGAAAGAGGCTGAGGCAAATCGTGCCCAGCACAGGCCTGAGGAGATTCTTGAGAGCACTCGCCCTTGGCTGTCGGTTCGACTGAGGGTGCAGCAGCACTGATGCGAGCACCGACATCAGTGCAAAGCCCTTTCCTGTGCCTGCTTGCTATTGCAAGAGCATGCAAGCTCGTTGCCCCGGACTTTGGCTAGAACCGAGACCTATACAGAGACTCACAAGCACAGAGGCCACGTGGAGATTCTGAGAGCGTACTGTCGCCTTTCCACGCGCATACGAACCATCACAAAACCAAGCTCAACAGCTTCCGAAGCCTAGCAGGCCCTGCAGATCGCACTTCTGCTCCTTCTCGCAGGCCTAGTCCATTCTGAGGATTCCAAACTGACCCACAGACCGAAGCAACTTAACATACTGCTTCCTGCAATGACGCAAGCGCCTGGACCTGGTGCCATTCCTTGTCCGCTTCTTCAATACAGCGGCGCTTCTGGATGCAATCCTCGGCGCACTCCCGGCTTCTACGATTGGGACGACTTGCATGTCTGTTGCCTTCTCGTCTGGCTGCGTTCGGCAAAAGTCGAAGCAAGCCTCGCGGCGAAGATCGTAATGGAACATGTCTACGTTGTGCACGTCTCGGGGCTGAAGCATCTGGCCATCTTCAGCAACCGGTGCCTCCCCATGACCTCCGCACTCGACATGGCGCCCTCCAGCTTCCACGCAGCCACCGCCTTCTCAGAATTCGCAGTCGTGACGGCAAGCTGTCTCCTTCTGTGGTCCCTTGACTTGAGAGCAGCGCGGACGAAAGTTAGCGGCAGGGAAGTGGCAGCAGTGTATTGAAAAAACGAGCAGATGCTGGTAAGCGAAGGTGACCGATGCAGTGCTCCTTGTGTGCTGTGCTGCGAACTGGCTCATGAAATGTAAGGCGTTTCAGTTAACGACGCATGGCAATGCACGCTCCTCAACGCAAGCAACAATAAGAGCTCTGAAACGTTTGTTTACCCTCCTGCTGACTCGGTCGATGCTTGTGAAGACAAGAAGCCTGCCGTGAACGTGAAGCAGTCTTAGGCAATGCTGCTGTCTTCAGTTGTGCAGAAGTATGCTGCGGCGCTCCCTCCTACATGTAGCCGTTTTGATATGCGAGGGAACCCTTTGTTGACGCTTAGATTTGTTGCCTTTTGGCGTCGCCGCAGCTAGGGCCAGGGCCCTGTGAAGTCTCGTAACACCCAAATCAAACCTGTAAACAATAAATAGGCTCTCGTGACATTGTGCTCTGCGATGCTGGACAACGCTTGGTCTCGAGTCTGAGGCTTGAGCCGCAGGCTTGAACACACTGCTGAACAGCCGTTGCGCTGCCTGAGCATTCAGCTTCAGCTGCTGAGTGCAGTGTAGCTTAGCCTAGCTTCAATCAATCAGAGAGCCCGGCACAGCCCGCTGGAGGACATGATTGCTTTGCAAAGGCTGGGCACCAGACGGAAAGTCAACAGGAGGCAGATCCCGGCAACGATCCAGAGGACAATACCAGCGAGGGCCTGAACTCGCAAGTGTCGCAACACACACCCCTTCGAAGGCTACTAGATGCTCACAGATTTCTCCTGCAATCCCGAGGTCTCCACGGTGCTGCCGCTGGAAGCCGGTGGCAAGTAGTTGTCCAGGTTTCTTGTGCGATCCATGGCTGTCGGCACAGACTCAGGGGCTGCGCTTGAAGACGCGGCACTGCATTAAGAGCATGGCTCAAGGTTGGCCATCCTAGCCAAGTCATAGCAATTCAAACAGTGAGACTCAAGTCAAGTTCACTGCCATGGCATCAATCGAGGGAAAGATCAACTAGGCGCGGCGGAGTTCTTTCAGAGCAGAGCAATATAGAGCAATCTTCAGTGTTCAGGGCGACTCATCCCTGCAACGACGACAGGGATGACGGATCTTTGTCGCTCGCCTCATAACCTTACTCTGCAGCTTGGCATTGCAAACCACATGCGAACTCATACGCCAGAGGCGAAGCGAAACCCCATCACGGCCGGGAAGCGATCGAAAGCCTCGCTGATCTCGTCGGCGCTTGGCCTCCAGGCGTTTGAGCATGGGCACTGGGATGAAGTGGACATCTGAGCACCGAACTCATGGTCAGACCGAAGAACCTGGCAACTGCAGCCAGACCAACCCGAAGCAACTTCTCGCAAGGTGCTACAGCCGGAGAGAGTCGCCTCATTGGTCACCACCGCTCCTCCCACCAGCTCTCGCTGCACCGCGACAATCCAAGGCCCCTTCGGAAGCCGAGTGCGGTGGGGCGGGGTCAGACTGCTGCTTGTGGATGCTTGTGGCAGATTACCAGTCACCAGCTTGTCAACGGAAAACCCCGGCAGCCCAACATCCGGAAGACTAGCGACAGGTAATTCCAAGCGTTTTTACGATTCGTGACAGACTCCTTCATCATAAGCCTTGGCTGGATTCTGCCAGTACTTCCCAGACTCTCGCGCATACATAGGAGCCGCGCTGTACTCAACGCCGTGAATGCTGATTTAAGCCCCATTGAGCTCAACGAAGATGGAAGGACTTCGCTGACATGCTCCGCAGCAAACGGTCAGTAAGCAGCCCCTGCTCTTGTGCCTACGCGCAAAGGAAATACTCAAACTGCCAGTTAGGTCCCTACAATCAGAAAAGGGCGAAGGGCGTATACAAGCCGTGTAACTGTGTAACTGGGAGCCCTCTGAAAGCCGAAAGCAGGCCTCTCCATCAGGGCAGATCTGCCTGAAAATGATGCTGTTGTCTGGCCACTTCCTCGCAAGATGCTCTGACCGGCAGACTTCATGATATTCGGCCGTCTTCAATATACTTGTCTTGACCACAGTGACTCCACTGATATCTACACTGCCTTCAACGCCAGCTGCCCCAGCTGGCGAGGTACCATGACAATCTTCCACTGCGGTTCGTATCACTTCAAACACCTTTATTCGAGACCGAGGGCGCCGCAGCGGTTTTGCAGTGAGGTCCGCACTTCTGTTCCGGAAAGCGGACGTGGTACGATGGCTCGAACTCCTTCTGCAAATATTCCAGCAACCTCGGGCATGCAAGAGCCATTGCATACAAATCCCGTCCAAGCACGTCGCTGTGCTACAAAGCCAACATTCACCGCTGCGCCATCGCAACTTAGATCCATACCTCGGAGGAATCTTTTTTGCCTTACGGCTCTTGTTACCTGGCCGTTGCAAGCTGAGGCTCTTTACTCCTCAAGTCCAAGCAGGCAGAGGACGAGAAATGAAGGAAAACGAAGATCCTACGATGCGCAGCATCTGGCCATGCTGGACAGGGCGAGCACAAGGTGGCGTATGTGGCGTCTATGCAGAATCCGACAGCAAAGAACTGCAGGCCGTGTATTCGAGCGTTGAGGAGGATGATTCCCATCCTCGAGCAGTTGAAGCAAAGCTAGCTGGGGAACTGTGCACAATCTCTCGTGCACTTTCGCAGGCTCCAGTCACTCGGATGCACAGAGATACAGGCATCTGACGCAAATACTACACGACTACACGCTCAGGATGTGACACTGAGGCAGCAACTGATCCTCTGCATTTTTGCTCAAGTCTGCAATTGTGCGAAGCTGTTCCTTGAATTGGCGTCGGCAGCAGCTACCGCAAACTGGCCAGACATGCAGGCTCAAAGGCACTAGTCAAGCCTAGCCTAGAACCCTCCACACTTCCCACGGCAGATGCTTCTGGCATCCTCTTGATGGCTCTGTCTCTCCGTCCCTTTCCTGAGCTTGCTGCCAGCTCGGGTGCCACAACGAGAAGGCATTTGCAGTCCAGATCCTGCATCAAAAATGCAGCTGCCTTCAGTGCAGGCTCCAATCCTGCAGTCCCGCACAACACAAACATCGATCCACAAGTGCCCTGCCATGCCGTGCCTCAATTTTTTTGAGAAACTTGGAAGGACCGGAAACCTGCAGCTTGTGGAAGCAGGCGCTCTGAGACAAGACTGAGAAGATCTGTGAAGACTGAGGAGACGAGAAGCAGCGGCTCTTTTCCGACGTGGCCGACGAGCGAATCGGGGCAGCTCTCCGCGGCTCCGCGGCGGCTCCGCGGCGGCTCCGCGGAGGCTTCTCGTCAGTGCGGATCCCGGCTCTGCGTGGCTTTTCTTCGAAGGTCCAAGCTTGGAGGGCTGGGCGGCGATGCTCGGCGCCGGGCCTCCACTCCGGGGCTGAGCGACGGACCAGTACATCCGGAAGTCACTTCATCAGGGAAGAGACCCAGTCGAAGTCTTCCTCGTGGCAAAACGTGGCTTCAATGTGGGCTCGGAAGCTCTACAGCCGAGATTTACGTGCAAACCTGACCGCCGAAAGCCAACACGGCCCATAGCCCATAGCCCAAAACACAGCGACAGCAACATCTCAGCTAGGTGTCCGGATCGTCTTGGTCTTCCTGGCAGGATCATGTAAAGATGGCTGGCCTTCGCAGCTTCCAGCTTGTTGCACTAGTGTTAAACATCTTACCCAGCCAGTTTTGCAGGTGCTCCATGGCAATCGGCTGTGCTACCTGCTACCTTCAGAACCCGCCTTACCACTTGCTATACTGCACGATTCAACATCTCGCCCTTTATGTGGCAAACCCACTTCGTACATCCTCCTCGTCTTCATCTTCGTCGTCGTCCTCCCAGGATAGGACAATGCCAGCGATTAACGAAAGAATGCTAGAGTGGAGCTGACCCAAAGCACCTCTTCATCTTCATCCTCGAAATCTTCGTCTGGATCGATGAAGTCGTCGTATGGATCCAGAGCGCTTGCAGCAGGGATTGCCTGGACATCTGTGCGATTGGTTCCGGAATCGAGCTGCTTTCGGGACCTACAACTATGTTAAAAAGTATCCGAAAGCGCTGCTCCCTCTCATCTGCCTTGCCTGCCCCTCCGGCAGCGCCACGCCTATCAATGGATGCAGCCAACAACTCCGATAAATCCCGGCTCTGCACTACCCCGGGAACGACACGCTACCATACGCTACCTAGCACGCTTGCCTGTGCGGGCCGGCGAGTTTGGAGACGGTGCTGGCAACATCTTCCGTCGCCAGGTGACCTCGTCTTGGAAAGATCCCCGCAGGCTGACCCCAACTTGCGGCGACCGAAACAAACTGCACGACAGCACAAGCGAACCATCACTGAAGCCCTCGACATTGCAAGAACTCAGAAATTGAGATTCTCAACTACACGAATCGAGCAGCTTTCCGCAGCACTTTTGCTTCTGCCTTCAATGCACATGCACAAAGCCGAAGAACAAGGCTTTGCCTGTGCGCCCTACCCCATGCCTTGGTGTAGGGAAACTCTTTGTCGTACCTCAGATGTGGCCGATGCAGCATGCGGCATGTGCTCAATCTAGCATCTGCCGTGGATACACTGTCGTTGCACTTATAGAACAGTCATGAACACTCGAGTGCCACATCAACCTGGTCTGCAGCACTATGCGGCCGAAGGAGCGTGTATTTTACCGGGACATAGTCCAGTCTTTCGTACAGCTCGTTCGCCGCGATTTGGTCATCTTCTACATGCAAGCACACCTCGCTGTCACCCCAAATGTCACACATTAGCCTCTCGCTGATTCCCATCAGCTTTCGTGCCAGCCCCCTCCGTCTGTAGGCTGGGTCCACACAAAGGTTGAGCACATAGGGCTTGCTGGCCACTGCAGGCTTCGTTTTTGCACCAGGCGCTCGGATGCGGCCATCGTCCGGCCAGAGGGATAAATCCACCAAGCCGGCGAAGTCTTCTGGCTGCGCGCTTCCCAGACGCTCCAGGCAAAGCACCAGCCCCAAATCTGGCCGCTCGTCAGATCCTTTGGGCGCTGGTCGAGCGAGCAAGGGACGCGGTGAGGCCGCATCAAGGCCCACCAAACTTCGACGAGCTCCGAGCCTTCCAGCAATGCCCTTCTTTACACTCTCCTCTTCAGAATCCGACACACGAAAGACCTGTGACACCAGCTTCAAGCACCGATCTAGGTCCAACAAGTCAGCAGCGACGACGGAAAGGCCCTCGTTCTCCACAGCTTGCAGCTCCGGCCAGTCTGCTGCCAGTTCTGGCCCCAAGAGCTCCGCCAGCGGAACGGAGCCTCGAGCCACGCGAGGCCACGTCCGTTGACGTTTCCACGCTGCCGACGCTGCCGCCGCTGCCGAGAGTGCCCCGGACAGCCCGAGGGCACCAAAAGCCGTCCCGCCGGGCCCGGGAGAACTCCGGCTCCGCCGGCTCCTCGCTCTCAGATTTCCGCAGCCTCAGCCGCCCGAGCTCCCACGCTCTTCTAGTGATCGGATGTTGTCCGCTTGTCTGCGTGCCGTTGGTTCTTGCGCTTGTGGTGGGGTATGTGTCTCTGCTCGAAGATTGCAGGCTGCAGGTACCATGCAACAGTTGAACATGTCGCCGGTCGCATGCTGCAAGCAAATCTGTCAGATGGTCACTTGTAGTGGGATGTAGTGGGAACAATTCGTGTCCAGAGGAGTTCCCCTCTATCATCGTGCTTCAGAATGAGTGAAGTTCCTCCTGCCTACCGTAGATTGCTAGATCCTCCGAGATCGTGCAATTACCTGCAGACTCGACAAGCATCATCCTTGAGCATGCTTTCTTGGGGAGACAGCCTTCGTCCTGTCTAGTCGTCGGCAACCGAATCAAGACAAATGCAACTACAGGTCAAAATACAACTACCACATGCTGCCACAGTTCGGGATGCTGACCAGGAGGGAGTCGGCTCAGCGACTTGCACAAGCAGCCGGCTTGGCTGCGTAAGGAGGCCATGCGTGGAAGCCGCCAGCATGGCTTCAGCTATGCGAGGCACCAGAATGCTACATCTTAGCTAAACTAGAGACATGACTTGTGCCCTATCTCAGCAATATCGAGTTGCTGTGCTTCCGAGAGCGGATGAGCATCTTTCCCTTGATGCAGATGCTCAACGAACCCGAACCTTCCTGGTATTGAAAACTCTTGCAACGCACTGGGCCTTGCTGAAGGACAAACAAGCCACGAGCTTCTGACGCGCGGTGAAACCTACCACTTGCCTTCGTGCCCCCCGAGCCTCCGTTGCAAAGGCAGACTTCTGCGTTCCAGAGAAGGAGATCACCTTGGCCTGCTTAGAAGGCGACGTTGCGCGGTTGCAGTGCCAGCTACGGAAAGCATGACCAGGACAGTGGCACCCACAACTCAAAACTTCTAATGTGAGCGACAGCTTGGCTTCAAGAGATTACCGTAGCACATCCGAAAGTGACAACAAGCAATGCGAACCTCCCTACTCTGCATCCGCACAGCAACCACTTGTTTCGGTGAGTATCAGGGCCAGCTCCTGAGGCTCAGCAAGATCCCGAAAGTGAGACGCGAATCGCCCATCTCTGCCATCTCGTGGTAAAGCGAGCCAGGCCAGTAAGTCTCTAAGCACATGCCAAACTCTGCTGCTAGGCTGAGATGTAGAGTGAAGCCAGTTTGCTTTGCCACAGATGACTCAGACGGTCAGCAGCCTCAGCCGCTTTACCTGCATCTCCGCTCTTA